AATAATCAGATTTGTTACTTCTGGAAGAAGAATGGGCACATGAAGCATGATTGCTACAAATCGCAGTATATGGAAAGGTTGGCTGCAAGTCGATATGGGAAGTAATCAAAAACTTCAGGTAAAGCAAACTTCGCAGAAAACATTGTAAGTGAGGGAGATCTCTTGGCTATTTCGGACATCGAGTCTAAACTAATTCTAGATTCAGCGTGTATTTTCATATGTCCTAATAAGGACTTGTTTACTACACATGAAACATTTCCAAAGATATCATGGTCATGGGAAACAATGCACATTGTCGGGTTGCTGTAATTTGTACGGTCAGATTGAAGTTATCGGATGAGACAATTAGAATACTTGGCTAGGTTCGACATGTTTCGGATTTGAAGAAGAACCACATCTCGTTGCCGATCATTGATTCAAAGGGTTATGAGTTTTTTAGTGGAGGAGGAGTTTTAAAGGTTTGTAAGGGTGGCCAGGTTGTATTAGAGGGACAGAAAATGTCTCAGTTATACATCTTGCAGGGTCGTACAGAATCTAGAAGAGTCAATCAGTACAGGTTCAGTACCGTGGTGGACATTCAGTTTGATACAATTCCTTTAGGAGCTCGTAAATGGTTGGATTTGAAGAATACTGCTAAGTGAAGTTCATGAGATATGGATAATCTGCCTTACCACAATTACTTGCGGTGCCATTGTATTCAATTTCTAGGGAAGTACCCAGTGGCAAAAGGTATGTGGATGATAATTTTGTTGAGCAAGCTTTTAGTGTAATAGGTGTACAATCTATTAATGAGTCTTTTTTAAAAATATTTAAGTTTGATTTTAATTGGGGTGTCTTATAGCCCAGTTTGGTGAATTCTAAAATTATTATAATCTTTAGGGAATTTGAGGTAATTTTGCAGAGAATTGTTTGGATTCATTAGAAGAGGTGGAGTATTTTGTGTTTGGTTGGAGAAATCAGTTTTGGTTATTATTGAAGAGTCAGTTCATTCCTTGTAGACCGATTTTCTTCTCCAAGTGGAGAATATTTTGGAGCTTTGTTTGTTGCAGTGGAATTCGTGTCAATATGAAAATTTTTAGAATTTGGGTGTGACCTAAATTCCTTGTTAGAGTAATTAAAGAATTTTAATTGAAGTGTACGTCAAGAAAAATTCAATTTGAAATGCTATTGGAGTCATATGTCAATTTGAAATTCTATTTTGGAAGTCCATGGGGAGTTGAAATTTGTTTTGGATTCAATTTTTTGGTATCCTACTTTATCAACAACTCTACTAGAAGGGTTTGAACATCCTATATATATTCTCTATAAACATTAGGCACTTTTATACAATTTCTTAATGTGAGAAAATATATTAGTGGAAATATATGATCCATTATAATTTTCTCTCTTCTCCATTATTCTTAATTCGATAAAATCTCTTAATTTCTCAGCCATATTTCTTGTCTTTATTATTCTTTTGCTTGATTTAATACTTTATTATTTGACATATAACTTCAATAATTCCTTCTGGTGGTTGGTTTCATCAAATGGTATTCAAATAATACATAATTATTATATTTCCAACATTACTAACAATGATCCGAGCATATTAATATTTCTTCTATTTAGGTTGTTTCACAACAGATATAGTGCCATGAAACGCTTTTGGAATAACACGCTCTATGACCATCAAACTTGTGCTATTCGATCGTTCTCACTTTTCCATCTCCCTCTTGTTATTAGAAATATTCTTATCAGTAAGTACAATAGGTTAATTGACCTGCAAAGCTCGGTTCAGATCCATAACTCTGAGAACAATCATCATGTTCTCTTGCCATGCCCTAAAGTTCGTGCCATTAAGCATTATAATTGAAATGAATTGATGTTAGCAGAGATATTGGTAGCAAAACCTGAAACCGGATTAGAGAACAATTAATTTGAAGAGCTCACAATCCATAATATGCAAATAATAATTTCAAATAATGGTAGGACCCATCACAAGATACCTAACACGGCATCAATATTTAGTATTTGGACAAAAATATTGACTTGTAAGTGGTATTCTTGGCGTAGTTATTAAACACTGATAATAAAGAAACATGTCATTCAATAAATCTTTCTTTAGACCGATTTATTGATCACACGTTAAACCAAATAATCTTCATATGTTTATCACCATAGGTGTATGTGCAATTCAGCCAAATATTGACCTTCATTTGGGTAGATCAAATATTCGCATGAATAACACACACAAATGCCTTTTAATATTCTAAATTAATTAATTTCTACAAGAAAGGTTGTTATGGCAACATGTTTCAGTTAATTCACTTTCGAATATTATACCTCTCAAAAAAAATCATTTTTACCAAAATTTGAAAAAAAAAATTGTCGAATTTCCATATTTGATTTATTTTGAAATTTTAGGGTCCTAAGTGTTAATAATTCGGAACTTTAGGGATTAAAAATTAATTATCCAAAATTTTATGGGTCAATAATTAATTATTAGAAACTTTAGGGTCCAAAAATTAATTATTCAAAAATTTAGGAACCAATTTAAACAAATTATAAACTTTTAGGGGTTTAATTACAAAATTCAGAATTTTAATGGCTCAGATTAATTAATTTTCAAATTTCAAGGACTGAATAATTAAATCCAGAACTTTAAAGGCTGAATTTGGATGAATTTTAACCTTAAGGGGCTGAAACATTAAAAAACTCATTTTTTAAAAAAATTGTAACCCTAACCCTAATTTGAAATTGCAAAGAATGGTCTAAAATTATCTAATCCCCGTCACAGACCTCCGCCCCCAAAATCAACCAAACTGAGAAAAGAACCCTAAAACAAAAACTTTAAAGGTGAAGAAGCAGTGCTCGTCGGTGCCTTTCCAAAAGCCGAAGCAGGCGAGCGCAGCGCACCTTACAGCGGCGCTTGACACGGCAACCCCGTTGTTGTGGCGCAGTGACCATTAAGAATTCATGAACCAAAGCGAAAGCGTACCTGAATCAAACATGATTAATGTAATAAATGAATCATATAATTTTAATCTTTCAAATCAACACGTTATTCTTTTATTTCTCTCTGACGATGGGAGTCAGAAAAGATTGAACAATCACGTATAATTCGAGGACCATAACCGTATGTATATATACATTAACGGACTGTTAACCTAATTCGACCCATCATGAATTAAGAACGAGTCTGAGCTTTGCACATAAAGGTCCACAATTTAATTAGATGTTTCAAAATCTAAAATGTCGAAACCTTATTAGATCACTTTAAAGGGTTTTACCAAAATTGATAACCTTTAATTTAATACA